GCAGAGCAGGGAGCCCAGGGAGGCAGCCTTGTGCTCCAGCTGTGTCACCTACCGAGCGGGACGATGACCAGGTTGGGGTGCTTGGAGGCCAATTTCTGCAGCTCCTGTAGAAGACGGCTGATGTGAGCCTTGTGTCGCACTCTGAGCTGCTCAGCCAACACCAGCCCTTTGCCTGCAGCCCTGGGGCACACGGTGCCAGGCAGCGGCAGCAGCTCCCTTCTTGAGCCCTGGGCACGCCATTGCTTGCATCCCACCCCAGTTCTCCTGTGCCTGAGGTCCAGGGCTGCAGCTCCCTGGTGGAGACCCTCCCACATCCCCCCTCCTGCAGCAGCCCTGCTGTCCCCCACCTCAGCTCCAGCCCAGCCTCACCTGCGCTCGCTGTCCCTTGGGATCCCGGCAGCCTGCAAAGACCCACTCAGGTGGGTTTGGCAATGCCAGCAGGTGCTGGACAAAGCCCAGGCCGATTCCCCGGTTGGCCCCAGTCACCAGAGCGGAGCGGACACGCAGCTCTCCCATGTTGCTTCTCCTGCTTCTGCTCAGCACACGTTGTTTGCTCAGTGCCCAAATGCTTCTTATAGCTTGCTCGACTTATAGCCTACTCACACTGAGCTTGCGCAAACCCTCGGTTCTGAGTTCAATATCTCCAGCTCTTTGACCTGTTCAGGGAAAAGCTCCTGGCTGGGAGCCAGCCTTGCAACGGGCAGAAATGACTTTGCTTTTTATGGTAAACTGTTCTGATAATGTATATGGAAGGTGTGTGCTCCTTCAGAGGTATCTGGTCGAGGCCTTTTTGCTGTGCCTTGTGAAGAAAGAGAAAAATCCATAAAGACTGTGCAGGGACACATCGGACCTAAAAAGGGATCGGGATGTGTTTGTGCAAACCCATCCTGGACAGTTATAGACCTGACTGAGGAAATGCGAGACTGAGATAGCTTGTTCCATCAAGTGTAGCTCATAGAGCATCGTCCTGATCTTGGAAGCAGGGAACGTTATGGAACAGATCATCCTGAGTGCCAACATATGGCACACAGAGGACCATCAAATGATCAACAATCATCCAGTGTGGTCTTACGGAGGGTGGGTCCTGCCTGACTGAACCCAGTCTTGTTCTGTGACAAGACAACCCGCTTAGTAGACAAAGGAAAGGCTGTGGATGACGGTAGACTGGATTTTAGTAATTTTACACCCTCTCCAATTGCATGACATTCCACAGGGATGGGCGCCACGTCTTGCACCTGGATCACAACAACCCCGTGCAGTGTTATGTGGTCGGGGAAGAGCGGCTGGAAGGTGCCTGGTAGAGAAGAACCTGGATGTGCTGGTTGACAGGTGGCTGAACATGAGGCAGAATGTGCTCAGATGGGCAAGAAGGCCAACGGCTTCCTGACCTGCACTGGAAATAGTCTGGCCAAGAGGACTAAGGAAGTGACCGTCGCATTGCATGTGGCACTGGTGAGACTGCATCTCCAATGCTGGGCTCAGTTTTGGGCCCCTGACTGCCAGAAGGATCTTGAGTTGCCGGAGTGAGTGCAGAGAAGGGCAGTGCAGCAGATGCAGGAGTTATGGGGAGACACCGAGGGCATGGGGCTTGTTTGGTTTGGAGAAGAGGAGACTGAGGTGAGACCTCACAGCTCCCTACGGCTCCCTGAAGGGGTGCAACAGGGAGGAGGTGTCGGTCTCTTTTGTGAGATGTGGAGCAATAGCACATGAGTGGGAGCAGCTGCCAGTTGTGTCAGGAAGTTCCTGTTGGACGTTAGGAAGAATGTCTTCATGGAGAAGTTTTGTCAAACAGTGCAACGGCCTGACCAGGAAAGTGGTGGATTCCCCATCGCTGAGATATTAAGGAGAGGTGTGGAGGTGGCTCTTGGGCACACAGTTTAGTGATGGGGTTCTGAAATCAGGTTGGACTTGTGAACTTGAAGGTCTTCTCCAACAACAGTGATTCCCATATCCCTTACCCTGAGTCCAACTTCCTCCTTGCCTCTGATTCCTAGGCAGTGAAGGACATAGGGGCGCAGGGGCTGCGCTGTAGCAATCGATGTGACTGCCAAAGCGGCCTGCATTGGGTGGTGCCACGGGTGCTGGAAGCCCGCATACTGCCATACTGTGTCAGCAAGGTGAGGGGGCAGGGGATGATTAGGTGATGTTTGCCCGTGGAGGGTGGATCACGGGACCCTCCACCTGCCCTAGGACACCCATGTGGTACACGGTACTTGAAGTGCAAGCACTCAGATGGCCAGCTCTTGCTTTCTGCAGAGCAAAGCCCCATTTCCCACCTCCACAGCCCTTCTTCCTGGAAAATATCTCCCTCTTGCCCAGAAGCACCCAGCAGCCCCTGCCCACCCATGGCTACGGGCAGCATCTTCTTCCTGTTTCCCAGCCTATGCGTGGTGATGCACAGCCCTTCACTCCATCTCTGCCTTACTCTGTGTCCCCAACCACCTGTTCCCTCATGGGCAGCCCTTCCTGGACGCATCCTGTGCTCCCACTGTACTCGTGCTTCCCCAGCCCTGGGCAGCCCAGCTCATGAAGATGGACAGTGGCCCGTGGCCCTTGACTCCAGAGAAGGACATTTCCAGCAGGGACAGCTGTCACTGGAGGGGGCATCTGTCAGCAGCTGTGGTTGGGAGCAGTCTGTTGTGATGCTCGTGGATGCGAAGTGGGAGCGCGTGGGAAGGGGCTGCCCTGCATGGGCTGCCAGTGTGCATCAGAACTGCTGTGGTCACAGAGTCAGCAGCCTTGCTGTTGTCAGATATGGTTTTATTGAGGGGGAAGGCAGCAGCAGAGGGGCCACTGCCAGGATCCAGGCACGAGGCCGGGCCAGCACCTCACCAGGGCACAACGTTCCCTTCCCAGTCCAGGTAGGACCCGCTGTCCTTCTCGGAGAGCTTGGAGAGCACCTTCAGCATCCCTCCTACGCTCGCATCCACCGTCACAGGGGCCTGCAGGGCAGAGGGAGAAACGCAGGCGTGTGTGCCCAAGGGCTGCCCAGGCTGTGCCCTGGAGCCCGGCTGCGGGAAGGCAGCGGCCGGGACCAGGGGGAAGCAGAGCCCTGGGAGGAGGGTGAGAGCTGGGAAGGCGGGCGGCGGGGCTGCCAGGAGCCGGGGCTGGCGCTGCGCAGGGCTCCCAGGGCAGGGAGAGCTGCCATGGTGCTGACGGAGCAGCACCCTGAGGGGGTCTTGGTGCAGGGCTCCGGGAGACAGCAGCCTCCGTGGGAGACCAGCACAGGCTGTGGGTGGACTCAAGGTGGGAAGCCCCTACCGTGTGTCCGCCTGCATTCCCCATGTCTGTCTGCACCCAGCCAGGATGGAAAGCAACAGTGAAGATGCCGTGTTCGCGGTACCCCATGGACTGGCACCTGGTGAGCATGTTGAGAGCAGCCTGTGGAGACAGCACAGGGATCAGGTGGGGATGAGAAGGTGCAGCATGGGGACACGTGCAGATCCCATGGCCGGGGTTTGCAGATCTGTCCCAGCATGGTCCTCTGCAGTCGGGCTTGGGACCACTAACAGGAATGTGAAGTGAGAGGAAGCCAGTGACTGACTGAAGCTCTGTCACAGTGGACAGAGTTGCAAGAGACTGACAGAGATGACACTGGAGGGATTATGCAGTCATTTGCTGAGAAGTTTGGGCTCATATCCAACACATACCTTGCTGCACCGGTAAGAGAGGCAGTGAGCCATGTCCCATAAATACATTTCTTTGATGGAACCCACAATGCTGGTAATGTTGACGATGGCTGCCTTGCTGCAGCTCATCCCCGAGCCCGTGCTGCCCTGGGCTGCTTTCTTCAGCAGAGGCAGGAACGCCTGTGGGGAAGGGAAGGAGCAACATGCACAGAGGAGGCTCACTGGAAGAGCGTATTTCCTTCCATATGTGGTGCATCAGAACCAGAGAATCAGAGAGCAGTTGTTATTGGCAGATATCTCTGTAGATCCCCTGGTGCAGCCACCTGCACTCAAGCAGAGCCACCCAGCGCCTATTGCCCAAGACTTTGTTCAGGGGCTTCTGGGGATCTGCAGTGAGGGACAGCGGACAACCTGTGATCAGCCCTTGGCAACGCCCAGCCACCCTCCAGCGCTGAACAAAGTCAGAGAGCAAATTCTTGTTCTTCTGGCTCAAATCCTGATACTCTGCTCTCTGGCATGGGCTCGCAGACCTGGGCTGTTATCATTTTGCACTAAGTTGCCCTAGGCTCCAAAGTGCCAAGGTCTTCTGCTTGCTGCCTGGTCTCAGTCAAGTCTGAAAAACGTGGAAGCTCTGAGCACAGCCCTCAGACAGCAAGAGACCAGATTGAGACCTAAAGAGCACTGGTCTGCACACAAAGGCAAGGACTCTGAAGGCGGAAAGAAGAGGAAGGTCCGATCCCAATGCCCCCTTCTTTCCTCCACCAAAGATCTCAGGGATGCAGGGATGTTCCTGGAGCTGTGGGTGAGCATGTTACCTGGCTGACCAGCAGAGGTGCGATGGTGTTGGTGGTGTACACCTCGGCCATGTCCTTCAGTGTTTCATTGTCAAGCGTGTTTGTCCGTGCGATCCCAGCGTTGTTGATGAGGAGGTTCAGCCCCGAGCCCTTGAGGCGCTCCCCGACGCTGGCTGCGGCCGCCTTGATGCTGGCGGGATCGGTGACTTCTGCAGAGGCGAGGTGGGGAGGTGAGCGCCCGCTGCCCTCGGTGTCTGCCAGCAGGCACAGTGCTGGGACAGAGCCCTGCACCAGGGATGGGGGAGGATGGCGTGCTGGCAGAGCAGGGAGCCCAGGGAGGCAGCCTTGTGCTCCAGCTGTGTCACCTACCGAGCGGGACGATGACCAGGTTGGGGTGCTTGGAGGCCAATTTCTGCAGCTCCTGTAGAAGACGGCTGATGTGAGCCTTGTGTCGCACTCTGAGCTGCTCAGCCAACACCAGCCCTTTGCCTGCAGCCCTGGGGCACACGGTGCCAGGCAGCGGCAGCAGCTCCCTTCTTGAGCCCTGGGCACGCCGTTGCTTGCATCCCACCCCAGTTCTCCTGTGCCTGAGGTCCAGGCCTGCAGCTCCCTGGTGGAGACCCTCCCACATCCCCCCTCCTGCAGCAGCCCTGCTGTCCCCCACCTCAGCTCCAGCCCAGCCTCACCTGCGCTCGCTGTCCCTTGGGATCCCGGCAGCCTGCAAAGACCCACTCAGGTGGGTTTGGCAATGCCAGCAGGTGCTGGACAAAGCCCAGGCCGATTCCCCGGTTGGCCCCAGTCACCAGAGCGGAGCGGACACGCAGCTCTCCCATGTTGCTTCTCCTGCTTCTGCTCAGCGCACCTTGATTGCTCAATGCCCAAATGCTTCTTATAGCTTGCTGGACTTACACCCCATGCACACAGAGCTTGCGCAAACCCTCGGATCGCTGTTTAATCTCTGCAGCTCTTTGAAATGACACGGACCCAGCTCCTGGCTGGGAGCCAGCCTTACAGAGGGCAAAAATGACTTTGCTTTTTAAGGCAAAGTGCTGGTTTGGAGTTTGGAAGGTGAGTTTGTATGTGGTGAAATAGCACCTGGTCCAGGCCCTTTTTCCTGTCCCACACAGGAGATGGAGAGAGAGAGGCAGCCATAAAGAATGTGCAGAAACACAAACTTAAAATGTGGCCTTGAAACGTGCAGGGATGTGTTCATGTGAACCCAACTGAATTATGCCGATGGGTGAAGGCACGTGAGAAGGCACGTGCATCGAGTGTGCTTCATGGAGCACCTTGATACTTGGAAACTAAGGCAAATGGGGAAGCCAGGAACACAAATACGCCATGGCCCAGAACGGAGAAAGCAACCGTACAGACCATGACATGAGACATGCCTTGCTGTGGCACTGCTTGGTGGGCCAGTGAGAAAGCAGGGGTGCCATTTTCACCAGGCTCTATTGCAGGGTCTGTAGCGCAAGGGTCCTCGTGGTTCTCAGGAGGTGTGGCAATGACACTGCCAAATGTTGAAAGAGACTTTACATCTCTTGGGAGGACCTTGAGGTAATCAAGAATGCAGGTAGTGTTCACCTCTCTGCTCCTATTTGGCAGCTGGGACCTGGAAAGAAGGAGCAGAATGGGTCAGGTAAGTGACTGGCTGCGTGGATGGTGTCTCGATCATGGCTTTGGATTGTGTGATCCTCGAGAGGGCTTTGAGAGTCATGGTATGTGGGCAGCAGGTGGAACAGAACTGAGAATGTTGCAGACAACATGGGCCACCCCGCTTAGGATCCAAATTACGGGCACTGATCATCAGGTAGGACCCCAGATTGGTAACGAAAATAATATTCTGCTCCCTGCCCCTGAGAATTTAGATCCTGGCACCCATAGAGTAAAATGGCCTTGGAAGGTGCAGGTAGGACCCAAGTGGTGTGGCCTACTTGCACCTTGGGAGAGACTGTTGGAGGTGGGAGGCTCAGCAGTCCCTCCAGTAACAGGTACGTGGCCTACTGATCCTGTGGTCAACACTTCTATTTTCATTGCTAAAGGGACCCCCATCGTGTCCCTGTGGCAGATCAGGACTCCTCCCTTGGTGCCTGGTATCGTTATGCACCGCAGACATCTGTCCAGAAGGTGTGGTTCAGGCCAGGACGTGCGCCAGTACAAGTGAAGCGTTGACCCAGGATAGAAATACGGCCTGTATCTCGCCCTGGAGAGCAGACCTTCCCCTCCTGGTACCTCTGAAACATCTGTATTACTCCTCGTGAGTCTGTGAGCCTTCAGGACCACCGAAGGAATGAAGTGCCATCAAAGTGTTCCAGTGTTGCTGTCAGATCCAGTACAACACCCGGTGATGGTCTGCATGGGACTGATGGAACATAGGACAGACCTGCACCTCACGGCTGCATGCCTGCAGTCACGTCATCGAGCACTGGCCCATAAAAGAATATCAACATTCACTGATCATCACACATCTTGAATTTTACCAACATGTGTCGCAATGAAAACTGTACAGGCGTCGCAGTATATCGGATCTCTGCATTAGGAAAAGCTCACCCTTTAGTCAACCTGATCATCAGCTCACGCCGTGAAGGAGTGGAGTGTAGGAAACTGCTGAATCATGGCCTGAACCTCTGATTGATCACCTGGGTGAGCCATGAGCCAGCCAGAGGAGCACAGCTGAAGGCAATTCTCCAGTGCTGCAGGAAGGGGTGGAGCCTGGCTGCAGCCCTCCTAGACCTATTGAAGAGCTGGCTGCCAGAGGGGAAGGATTTCTTCTGGGGATCTGCTCCACCTGAGATTCCTATGTGAGCCCAGAGTAGGGTGAGTGTCCTTTTCTGCTCTAGTGTAATAATTGCATAGGTCCAGCTCCCGAATATATCATATCATCTGTATATTCATTGATGGTACACATGGTACGTGGGCAGCAGGTGGAACAGAACTGAGCAGGAGGAGCTGAGGTGTTCTGGGAAGCAAGCTGTCTGGATGGATTGCCCCTATTTAAACTGCATTTGTTGGGGGTAGGGGAGGGAGTTGTATGCAATGGAGAAGGCCCAGCAAATGCTGTCATTATAGAAAAATAATGGGGAAAAATCCTCAGTTTCATCTTACAGGATCTTGTGAGCGCTCTTCCTAGAAGGTAATATTGCCAGTAGCCTGTCTGAAGTGCCTTTACACCCCTAAAGCATGCGGCCTTGGTGATAAGCAGGAGAAGCTGAAGCCATGGTGCAATTAGAAAAGTGCAGCCCAGCTGTGGTCACAGATGAGCTATAATTCACGTGGCTGGAGCGCAGCCACTGAGGGCTACAAGTTTTTTGGAAGAGATGGGCAGGGAGAGACGGGTGGGGGAACTGCCCTGTGTGTTAGTGGGTTGGTAGCGTGTGAAGAGCTGCTCTGAGGAGCAGCCACCATCAGGTTGTGAGCTGGTGGGTGACAAACAGGGACCAGACAATAAAGGGCAGCTAGCGGTCAGGGTCTGCTACAAATTGACTGAGTGGGGCGATGTGGTGGAGGATTTCAAGCACCCAGACATCTGCTGGGAAAGCAACAGGGCAGGATGCAAAAAATCCCATAGAAGAGGCCTGGAGTGTGTTGAGGGTACCTTCCTGGCCTGGGTATTCGGCAAAGCAGTCCTAAAAGAACCCTTCTGGGACGTGGTTGTCACCAACCCAGAGGAGCTCATTCAGGAGCTGAAGGTGGGAGGCACTCTGGGCTGTAGTGGCCGTGCTTCCTGGGAGAGTCTGTGATGTAGAGGAGGACGGGCCTCGCAGAAAGCAGTCAGGACCCCGAGCGTCATGAGAGCGAAGTTTGGGCTACTTAAAGAACTACTGGGTGAGATCCCCTGGGATTATGACCTTACTGGCAAAGGAGTGGAGGAAAACCGGCCGGTCTTCAGGACAGTTTGCAGAGAGCACAAGAGCTCTGTGTCCTCCATGCAGGAAAACAAGCAGAGGAGGCAGGAAGCCGGCAGGATGGGGCAAGGACCTGCTGATCAGACTGAGAGAAAAGAAGGACGTGTATGGACCACAGAAACGGGACATGTTGCCTGAGAAAAATACAGGGGTGCTGTGTGGACATGCAGTGTTGAGCACTCAGAATACAAGTGATACTGCTTATACACAAAATTGAGGAGTGGAAAATCCACCCCCGGGAAGTGGATGCACTCCATGGGCTTCAAGCATGGAGCAGAGGCTGTTGTAGAAAGAGATGGAGACAAGAGCATTGCTGTTCACAGATATGGGTTTATTGAAGAGCAAGCAGAGGTCAGGCAGCAGCAGAGGGGCCACTGCCAGGATCCAGGCACGAGGCCAGGCCAGCACCTCACCAGGCCACAACGTTCCCTTCCCAGTCCAGGAAGGACCCGCTGTCCTTCTCGGAGAGCTTGGAGAGCACCTTCAGCATCCCTCCTACGCTCGCGTCCACCGTCACGGGGGGCTGCAGGGCAGAGGGAGAAACGCAGGCGTGTGTGCCCAAGGGCTGCCCAGGCTGTGCCCTGGAGCCCGGCTGCGGGAAGGCAGCGGCCGGGACCAGGGGGAAGCAGAGCCCTGGGAGGAGAGTGAGAGCTGGGAAGGCGGGCGGCGGGGCTGCCAGGAGCCGGGGCTGGCGCTGCGCAGGGGTCCAGGGCAGCACAGCACAGGCTGTAGATGGATCCAAAGTGGGGAAGCTCCTACCGTGGCTCCAGCTGCGTTCCCCATGTCTGTTTGCACCCATCCGGGATGGAGAGCAACGCAGAGGATGCCGTGTTCCCGGTACCCCATGGACTGGCACCTGGTGAGCATGTTCTGGGCAGCCTGTGGAGACAGCACAGCAATGAGGTGGGAACTGGGACAATGTGCTGTGAGAGAGGTGTATGAAAAGTCAGGAGCTCAGCCACAGCAGAGAGATGCAGACACTTTCAGAGATGATATACTCGAGGGGTGCTGAAGTCATTAACAGAGGGGAAAATGATCGTAGCACATACCTTGCTGCAGCGGTAACAGACAGCTTGTATGGCTTCCCATAAATAGACTTCTTTGATTGAACCCCCAATGCTGGAAAGGTTGACAATGGCTGCCTTGCTGCAGCTCATCCCTGAGCCTGGGCTCTCCTGGGCTGCCTTCCTTAGCAGTGGCAGGAATGCCTGTGTGGGGGGGAAGAATTATGCACAGAGGAGGCTCATTGGGTGAGCCTGTTCCCTTCGATAGTAGATCATATCAGAGTAACAGAATCAGAGAACAGTTGTTGTTTGCAGATATCTCTGTAGATCATTTGGTGCAACCTCCCCTACCCAAGCAGAGTCACCAAGAGCCCATTGCCCACGATCACGTCCAGGTGACTTTTGAGCATCTCCAAGGAGGGACATTGGACAGTACCAGCAATCAGCCAGTATCAACACTCAACCGCCCATCAGTGCTCAGAAGAAAGGCAGAGTGCAAGTTCTTGTTCTCCTGGCTCAGATCACGATCCTCTGCTCTCTGGCATGCCCTGTACCTCTGCACTCTTCTCTTATCTTGTGGCCCCAGGCTCCAGAGTGCCAAATGCTTCAGCCTGCCTCCTGGTCCCAACCGGAATGGGCATCTTGAGCTCAGCCCATTCTGCACTGATTTGAACACCTACTCCTGAGAGCAAGGGACCTGAGTGGGACCTGAAATGTGCAGGACCTGACACCAGGGCAGGAACTCATCAGGGAGAGAGTAGAGGAGGGCTCTGTCCCACGGGCCCCATCCTTCCTGCATTGAGGACCTCAGGGATGCAGTACAGGGATGTTCCTGGAGCTGTGGGTGAGCACATTACCTGGCAGAGCAGCAGAGGTGCGATGGTGTTGGTGGTGTACACCTCGGCCATGTCCTTCAGTGTTTCATTGTCAAGCGTGTTTGCCCTTACGATCCCAGCGTTGTTGATGAGGAGGTTCAGCCCCGAGCCCTTGAGGCGCTCCCCGACGCTGGCTGCGGCCGCCTTGATGCTGGCGGGATCGGTGACTTCTGCAGAGGCGAGGTGGGGAGGTGAGCGCCCGCTGCCCTCGGTGTCTGCCAGCAGGCACAGTGCTGGGACAGAGCCCTGCACCAGGGATGGGGGAGGACGGCGTGCTGGCAGAGATGGAGCCCAGGGAGGCAGCCTTGTGCTCCAGCTGTGTCACCTACCGAGCGGGACGATGACCAGGTTGGGGTGCTTGGAGGCCAATTTCTGCAGCTCCTGTAGAAGACGGCTGATGTGAGCCTTGTGTCGCACTCTGAGCTGCTCAGCCAACACCAGCCCTTTGCCTGCAGCCCTGGGGCACACGGTGCCAGGCAGTGGCAGCAGCTCCGTTGCTTGCATCCCACCCCAGTTCTCCTGTGCCTGAGGTCCAGGGCTGCAGCTCCCTGGTGGAGACCCTCCCACATCCCCCCTCCTGCAGCAGCCCTGCTGTCCCCCACCTCAGCTCCAGCCCAGCCTCACCTGCGCTCGCTGTCCCTTGGGGTCGCGACAAGTTGCAAAGACCCACTCAGGTGGGTTTGGCAATGCCAGCAGGTGCTGGACAAAGCCCAGGCCGATTCCCCGGTTGGCCCCAGTCACCAGAGCAGAGCGGACACGCAGCTCTCCCATGTTGCTTCTCCTGCTTCTGCTCAGCACACGTTGTTTGCTCAGTGCCCAAATGCTTCTTACAGCTTGCTGGACTTCCACCCCACCCACACTGAGCTGCGCAAACCCTCGGTTCTGAGTTCAATATCTCCAGCTCTTTGACCTGTTCAGAGAAAAGCTCCAGGCTGGGAGCCAGCCTTGCAACGGGCAGAAATGACTTTGCTTGTTATGGTAAACTGTTCTGATAAGGTATATGGAAGGTGTGTGCTCCTTCAGAGGTATCTGGTCGAGGCCTTTTTGCTGTGCCTCGTGAAGAAAGAGAAAAATCCATAAAGACTGTGCAGGGACACACCGGACCTAAAAAGGGATAGGGATGTGTTTGTGCAAACCCATCCTGGACAGTTATAGACCTGACTGAGGAAATGCAAGACTGAGATAGCTTGTTCCATCAAGTGTAGCTCATAGAGCATCGTCCTGATCTTGGAAGCAGGGAACGTTATGGAGCAGATCATCCTGAGTGCCAACATATGGCACACAGAGGACCATCAGATGATCAACAACATCCAGTGTGGTCTTACGGAGGGTGGGTCCTGCCTGACTGAACCCAGTCTTGTTCTGTGACAAGACAACCCGCTTAGTAGACAAAGGAAAGGCTGTGGATGACGGTAGACTGGATTTTAGTAATTTTACACCCTCTCCAATTGCATGACATTGCACAGGGATGGGCGCCACGTCTTGCACCTGGATCACAACAACCCCGTGCAGTGTTATGTGGTCGGGGAAGAGCGGCTGGAAGGTGCCTGGTAGAGAAGAACCTGGATGTGCTGGTTGACAGGTGGCTGAACATGAGGCAGAATGTGCTCAGATGGGCAAGAAGGCCAACGGCTTCCTGACCTGCACTGGAAATAGTCTGGCCAAGAGGACTAAGGAAGTGACCGTCGCATTGCATGTGGCACTGGTGAGACTGCATCTCCAATGCTGGGCTCAGTTTTGGGCCCCTGACTGCCAGAAGGATCTTGAGTTGCTGGAGTGAGTGCAGAGAAGGGCAGTGCAGCAGATGCAGGAGTTATGGGGAGACACCGAGGGCATGGGGCTTGTTTGGTTTGGAGGAGACTGAGGTGAGACCTCACAGCTCCCTACGGCTCCCTGAAGGGGTGCAACAGGGAGGAGGTGTCGGTCTCTTTTGTGAGGTGTGGAGCAATAGCACATGAGTGGGAGCAGCTCCCAGTTGTGTCAGGAAGTTCCTGTTGGACGTTAGGAAGAATGTCTTCATGGAGAAGTTTTGTCAAACAGTGCAACGGCCTGACCAGGAAAGCGGTGGATTCCCCATCACTGAGTTATGAAGGTGATGTGTGAAAGGGAGACTTGGGGACGCAGTTTCGTGATGGGATTTGGTAAATCAGGCTGGACTTGTGACCTTGACGGTCAAAACCTTCCATACCCTGAGTCCAAACTCCGTCCTGGTTGGTCAACTCAGCTCTCTGCCCACCCTGGGCCACAGTGGTCATTCAGGTCCTTGTCCCCTTCAGCAGACACACGCGATGGTGGAGCAGAGCGTGCAGGACGTCGCTGTGGCTCTGGGCAGCTTGGTGAAGGAGACAGCCGTCCACAAGGGACCTCTGGCACGTTCCTCCACTGGGAAGGCAACTGCTTGCCCAGGGGACACCAGCTGAGCCCCCATGTCACCAGCACCCACCCAGGGACATAGGCAGCACTCCGCAGTGCATGGGAATTGCTGAATCATGCCTGAACCTCCGATTGATCACCTGAGGTGAGCAATGAGTCACTGCTGGGAGCACAGGTGGGGAAGGTTTTCTTTCTGGAGATCCCTGCTTTGATGTTTTACAGTGAGCCTGGGACAAGGTGATGGACTCTATCTATTCTTTCTTTTGTGTAATAACCTGCTTAGTCAAACTCTCTGATATTTCATAGTGATGACATCACTACACTCATTAATTGTACACCCATTCCCAACCCCGGCATGCAGCACCTTGCACCCCAACTCTGCCTGCAGTGACTGCTCTCTGCTTTGTTTCCCTGACTGCCTGGGCCCTTATGAGGTGGCCGTGTTGGTCAGAGCCTGGCCCTTCCAGCCTGGGGCTGCCCACAGCTTTGAAGACAGAGTCTGATGCCAATTCCATTCACTCCCTGAAGGGACATTTCCAGCAGTGACATCTGTCACTGGTGGGGACACCAGGCAGTGGCTGTGATTGGGAGCACAGGATACTGATGCACAAAGATGAGGAATGGAACACACCTGGGACGTGGCTGCTCTCCATGGAGTTCCACAGAGCCTGTTGTGTTCACAGACAGTCAGCAGCCTTGCTGTTGTCAGATATGGGTTTATTGAGGAATTAGCAGTGCTCAGGCAGCAGCAGAGGGGCCACTGCCAGGATCCAGGCACGAGGCCAGGCCAGCACCTCACCAGGCCACAACGTTCCCTTCCCAGTCCAGGAAGGACCCGCTGTCCTTCTCGGAGAGCTTGGAGAGCACCTTCAGCATCCCTCCTACGCTCGCATCCACCGTCACGGGGGGCTGCAGGGCAGAGGGAGAAACGCAGGCGTGTGTGCCCAAGGGCTGCCCAGGCTGTGCCCTGGAGCCCGGCTGCGGGAAGGCAGCGGCCGGGACCAGGGGGAAGCAGAGCCCTGGGAGGAGGGTGAGAGCTGGGAAGGCGGGCGGCGGGGCTGCCAGGAGCCGGGGCTGGCGCTGCGCAGGGCTCCCAGGGCAGGGAGAGCTGCCATGGTGCTGACGGAGCAGCACCCTGAGGGGGCCTTGGTGCAGGGCTCCGGGAGACAGCAGCCTCCGTGGGAGACCAGCACAGGCTGTGCATGGACCCAACGTGGGGAAGCTCCTACCGTGTGTCCTGCTGAGTTCCCCATGTCTGTCTGCACCCAGCCAGGATGGAAAGCGACGCAGAGGATGCCGTGATCCCGGTACCCCATGGACTGGCACCTGGAGAGCATGTTGAGAGCAGCCTGTGGAGACAGCACAGGGATCAGGTGGGGATGAGAAGGTGCAGCATGGGGACACGTGCAGATCCCATGGCCGGGGTTTGCAGATCTGTCCCAGCATGGTCCTCTGCAGTGGGGCTTGGGACCACTAACAGGAATGTGAAGTGAGAGGAAGCCAGTGACTGACTGAAGCTCTGTCACAGTGGACAGAGTTGCAAGAGACTGACTGAGATGACACTGGAGGGATTATGCAGTCATTTGCTGAGAAGTTTGGGCTCATATCCAACACATACCTTGCTGCACCGGTAAGACACGCAGTTTGTAATGTCCCATGAAAACATTTCTTTGATCGAACCCCCAATGCTGGAAATGTTGACGATGGCTGCCTTGCTGCAGCTCATCCCCGAGCCCATGCTGCCCTGGGCTGCCTTCTTCAGCAGAGGCAGGAACGCCTGTGGGGAAGGGAAGGAGCAGCATGCACAGAGGAGGCTCACTGGAAGAGCGTATTTCCTTCCATATGTGGTGCATCAGAACCAGAGAATCAGAGAGCAGTTGTTATTGGCAGATATCTCTGTAGATCCCCTGGTGCAGCCACCCGCACTCAAGCAGAGCCACCCAGCGCCTATTGCCCAAGACTTTGTTCAGGGGCTTCTGGGGATCTGCAGTGAGGGACAGCGGACAACCTGTGATCAGCCCTTGGCAACGCCCAGCCACCCTCCAGCGCTGAACAAAGTCAGAGGGCAAATTCTTGTTCTTCTGGCTCAAATCCTGATACTCTGCTCTCTGGCATGGGCTCGCAGACCTGGGCTGTTATCATTTTGCACTAAGTTGCCCTAGGCTCCAAAGTGCCAAGGTCTTCTGCTTGCTGCCTGGTCTCAGTCAAGTCTGAAAAACGTGGAAGCTCTGAGCACAGCCCTCAGACAGCAAGAGACCAGATTGAGACCTAAAGAGCACTGGTCTGCACACAAAGGCAAGGACTCTGAAGGCGGAAAGAAGAGGAAGGTCCGATCCCAATGGCCCTTCTTTCCTCCACCAAAGATCTCAGGGATGCAGTACAGGGATGTTCCTGGAGCTGTGGGTGAGCACATTACCTGGCTGACCAGCAGAGGTGCGATGGTGTTGGTGGTGTACACCTCGACCATGTCCTTCAGTGTTTCATTGTCAATTGAATTTATCTTTGCAATCCCAGCGTTGTTGATGAGGAGGTTCAGCCCCGAGCCCTTGAGGCGCTCCCCGACGCTGGCTGCGGCCGCCTTGATGCTGGCGGGATCGGTGACTTCTGCAGAGGCGAGGTGGGGAGGTGAGCGCCCGCTGCCCTCGGTGTCTGCCAGCAGGCACAGTGCTGGGACAGAGCCCTGCACCAGGGATGGGGGAGGACGGCGTGCTGGCAGAGCAGGGAGCCCAGGGAGGCAGCCTTGTGCTCCAGCTGTGTCACCTACCGAGCGGGACGATGACCAGGTTGGGGTGCTTGGAGGCCAATTTCTGCAGCTCCTGTAGAAGACGGCTGATGTGAGCCTTGTGTCGCACTCTGAGCTGCTCAGCCAACACCAGCCCTTTGCCTGCAGCCCTGGGGCACACGGTGCCAGGCAGCGGCAGCAGCTCCCTTCTTGAGCCCTGGGCACGCCGTTGCTTGCATCCCACCCCATTTCTCTTGTGCCTGAGGTCCAGGGCTGCAGCTCCCTGGCGGAGACCCTCCCACATCCCCCCTCCTGCAGCAGCCCTGCTGTCCCCCACCTCAGCTCCAGCCTCACCTGCGCTCGCTGTCCCTTGGGGTCGCGACAAGTTGCAAAGACCCACTCAGGTGGGTTTGGCAATGCCAGCAGGTGCTGGACGAGCCCGAGGCCGATTCCCCGGTTGGCCCCAGTCACCAGAGCGGAGCGGACACGCAGCTCTCCCATGTTGCTTCTCCTGCTTCTGCTCTGCGCACCTTGTTTGCTCAGTGCCCAAATGCTTCTTGTAGCTTGCTGGACTTACACCCCACCCACACTGAGCTGCACAAACCCTCGTTTCTGGGTACAATCTTGCCTGGTCTGAACTGTCCAGGGAGAAGCTCCTGGCTGGGATCCAGCCTTACTAAAGGGCCAAAGTCTGTTTGTTTTTTAAGGACAATCTGGCTGTCTGGTGATGCCTGACCTCCTAAATCAGAAGCCAGCAGCAGCCCTGGCCAGGAGAAGCTTTGCTGTGTGCAGACAGTGGAAGCAGCAAGTGGGAAGGAGACACGATGCCCCGTGGGTCTGCAGGACTTCCACTGAGCTGCTGCACCTGCATCTCAAGCCAGATGGGTGTAGCAGATCGCAGCCATGCATCAACCAGTCTGAGGTGATCTCTTCCCCTTTCCCTGTCTGTCGCAGTCAGATTGTTGCTCAGATGGCCACAAGTTGGTGTTCTGTGCTTTCCTTTCTTCCAAGCGAATGCCCCATGTCCAGTGTTTCCGTTGGCAGAGTTGTTCTTTGGAGCACTGAGTCCAAAGGCAGGGGCACAGGCTGACGGGCTGATGAGCAGTGCTGTAGTCACTGAACAGTGCAGGTATATTGGCTTCTGCCATTGCGTTGTCTTGGCGGTAGAGTCAAGCAGAGCATCTTCCCCCCATCCAGGCTGCCAGAACTGCTCCAAAGCCCTGCTGTGCCCAGGAGTGTGCAAAAGAATGCACTCCGCTTTGGCAGAATTGTCTTCCATGGTTTTCCACAGTGTGATAGAAAAGTTCAGTGTGCCTCAGAACCAGATAAAGCCACAACCAGCTCTTTCATCTCTCCTGTTTCTGCTGTGTCATGTTGGTTTTGAACCTTTCCATTGTTTTGGAGCTGTAATGTTATACTGTTGACTTTGCTCAGGGGCCTCACGCTGCATTATAAAATCCTAAACAAGCATTCTTTTAGCAGGGGTCATAGTCCAGCCTGGCATGAACACACCTAGAAGAGAACAGTCAGCCTTGCTGGGGTGGCAGTGGAGTCTTGTCACAAGCTGCTGTCCCCAAGGCTCAGCTGTAGAGGGGTGGAACGTTCTTGCACGGTCTGAGCTTTAGGATGAACAGAAGCAGTATTTTTCAGTGTGGTGAAAGGCCATTGGTGTATCCTGTCCCACAGGCCCTCTGACAGCCATATGTCACATAGAGAAGCTTTCTGTCAGGAGTTGGGGCATGATTGCACCTTCCAAACTCTCTGTGGCTGAAAGCTCAGTGTTCACACCCATCTACATATGTGCACAAAGGGCAATTGCAAAGTCACTACAGAAACCTTGAGAAATATCCCTTTGTTTGTCAGGCTGAGGAGCATGGGCATGGCACAGTCATCTCCATTATGTTCACTCTGCTGTGAAAGCAGTAGTAAAGGTGCTGCTTTTCATCAAGGCTATTGGCTTTACGATGCCAATCTCTGTCCAGCTCCAGCTCTTCTGTGCCTGGGGCGCAGATGGGGAGGATGCTGACGTGCTTCGTGCCTTTTCTGCTTTAGTCTTTATTAGAAAGACCAGTTGTTCTGAGGGTACCCAGACCCCTGAGTTGTAAGGGGACGACAGGGAGTGAGAGGCAGCCCTTGGGCTCAGTGGGAAATAGGAAGTGACCTCAAACTTGTTTTGAAGATTTGTAAGTCTGTGTGGCCTATGAGATACAGCCAACAGAGACGGTGCAAGTGCTCACCAAGGCAGTCTGCAATTTGCCAGCAGTGCTGCATAACTGGGGAGGTGCCAGCTGAGTGCAGGTTAGCACCTGCGACGAAGCCACCCCAGGAGGGGCCATTGAGGAACAAGGACATCCCAGAAGGAAGATCAAATAAGATAATAATGATATTATAATCACTATGAGTGGCTGAGGACAGTGCAGACTGATAAGATTGCCCCAGGGGAGACTGAGACCCCCCCAGGTAGGGACACAGTCTAAGCAGACCGAGTCACCGGACGTCCAGCTCCCTGCTCTCACCTTGGGCTGCCCCAGCAGGTTCAGGAGCTCAGCTCCATCAGAGTCCCCCCAGTTCCAAGCCGTGGACACGCGTGCAGGCAGGCAGCCCTTTTCCAGTCAGACTCCTGGGACGTCTGCGGAGCGCTGAGCTCCGTTCTGGCTAAGGACGGAAGCGAGCAGGTCCTGCAGAGAAGTGGTGTTTTGTCAGGATGTTTGAGCAAAGGCGAGTGATTGGTGAAGAGCTGCAGAGCTGCAGAGAGGGGGCAGCAGGAGGCTTCTGAGCGTGTGGCACGAGCTCCTCCTCTCCAGAGCGCCCGGGAGGGAAAAGAGTGAGGAGGCAGCGCGTGGGCCAGGCTGCGCCGTGCAGCGTTGCTCCGGCTGCCCTCCGTCCCGCTGAAAGGATAAAAGCTTCGCCTGAACAGGGGCTTGAACCCTGGACCCTCAGATTAAAAGTCTGATGCTCTCCCAACTGAGCTATCCAGGCTCCCATTTGGGCCTTTGGGAGATGCTCAGGACGGCCCACTGAGGCCCCCCATCGCCTCCACCACGGGGGCAAGCAGGGGGGTGCTGCGAACTCACAGCTGCAGCCCTGCCCTCAGCTGTCGGAACACGGGGAGAACACAAGCCAAGCAGGGGCCGGCAGCGATCACAGCGGGCTCAGTGCTCTGCGCTGTGATGCGGCAACCTCCCTTCCGACCCAAGGCACGGCCGTGGTTTTGCAGGGAGCCTGCTGTGTCCGCCACTGGCGTCACCTGCCGCACGCACGCTGTGCTCACTCACCAAACACATCAATGCCTTTGGCCGCCCGTGGGCAGATCTCTGAGGGTACAAAGTGTCTCCGGCCACCGCAGCGTTCACAGGGGATGGCACATTTGCAAGGCCGGGCCTTTGTCCCTCCCAGTCCCTCCTCCCCATCCCGGCCAGCCCCTTGCAGCTCAGCCTGTTCCGATGTTTGGCAAAAAATTTTACATGAAGACATTATAACTAATATCCAACAGAAACCTCTTGAACACAACTGGCAGCTGCTCCCACTCATGTGCTATTGCTCCACACCTCACAAAAGAGACCGACACCTCCTCCCTGTTGCACCCCTTCAGGGAGCCGTAGGGAGCTGTGAGGTCTCACCTCAGTCTCCTCTTCTCCAAACCAAACAAGCCCCATGCCCTCGGTGTCTCCCCATAACTCCTGCATCTGCTGCACTGCCCTTCTCTGCACTCACTCCGGCAACTCAAGATCCTTCTGGCAGTCAGGGGCCCAAAACTGAGCCCAGCATTGGAGATGCAGTCTCACCAGTGCCACATGCAATGCGACGGTCACTTCCTTAGTCCTCTTGGCCAGACTATTTCCAGTGCAGGTCAGGAAGCCGTTGGCCTTCTTGCCCATCTGAGCACATTCTGCCTCATGTTCAGCCACCTGTCAACCAGCACATCCAGGTTCTTCTCTACCAGGCACCTTCCAGCCGCTCTTCCCCGACCACATAACACTGCACGGGGTTGTTGTGATCCAGGTGCAAGACGTGGCGCCCATCCCTGTGCAATGTCATGCAATTGGACTTGGTCTATTGATCCAGACTATCCAGATCCCTCTGCAGAGCCTTCCTACCCTCAAGTGTTTTGACACTGCCACCTAACTTGGTGTTGTCTTTTCACCTTCCTCAGGATCTTTCCATTCCCTCATCCATATCACTGGCAGAACTGTGAAACAAAACTGGCTCCAGACTGAGCCATGGGGAACACCACCAGTGCCTGGCAGCCAGCTGGGTCAAACCCCATCCATTAGCCCCTATTCAGTCTAGCCAGCCTGGCTGCTTTTTCTTCACCTGATGGTCCCCTCTGTGCCACATGCTGGCACTCAGGATGATCTGCTCCATAACTTTCCCTGCTTCCAAGATCAGGTTGGCAACTTGAAACAGTCTGGGCCATCTTTCCCCTCCTTCTCTCACCCTTTCCCACCCCACTGTTTGGTTTTCAACCTGAACATGCATTAGTTGTTATTCTTCATTGTTCTTGAGGTGGGCTTAATAGACTTATTCCCAGAACCGACTTTCTGGGGAGGGGGAGAAAAGAGGGATGATGAAATTGTCTTTTTCCCTTTCTGTGTCTCAGCTGTGTAAAAGTGGGATGGGTCAGCCTCTTTTCCCAGGTAACAGGGATAGGACAAGAGGTCATGGCTTCCACTTGCACCAGGGGAGGCTCAGGTTGGATGTTCCTGAGGCAAACGAGCCATTTTGCCCTCAATTTCCATATCCAGCCCCTTCCCTTCTGACAGTACGATCTCAGACGAGAAGGAAGAACCTGGGCAGCAGCCCACCACGGAAATCCATGCCCTCCCACAGCCATGGCACAGCTCTTATGCCCAGGGCAGAACCCCTCGCCCACGTTCTACTCCTCATTCTGTTCTCTTTCTGAAGTGGATAAGGGATGAAGAAAAATATCAGCCTGCAGCCAAAAGCCTCCCTCTTCCCTTCCCGTGCACTTGTGGCTCCTTCACCAGCTGAGCCTTGAGTGACTCCCCAGAGGGACCTGTGAAACACCTTGAATTTCTTTCCTGAAAGCTGCTGTGAGCTCTGCACAGCTGTCAGAAGAGGGCACTAAGACGAAGGAAACCGTGTTTCAATGGGCTGCAGGCTTGTGAAGAGCAAAAAGCCCTTCCTCCAAGTGGAGGCCCTCTGGTGCAGCGCAGAGCTCTCCGTGTGCCTTCGGGAATGTGGGAAAAGGCTGATGGAAGGGGTCTGCAAAGGCACCGGCAGAAGATGTCTGTGCCAGCATGGGATCCTCTCTGACCATTAGACCAGTGAGCAAGAAACATCCTTGTAAAGCACGGCCAGATTCTTTGAAGTGCAGAGCGGCACCAGATAGCCAGAGACATCCTGAGGCAGCCTCAATAAGGGGAAGACCAAAACACTAGTGGTCATCCGGAGAGGTGAAGAAATGGACTGGAAAAGGAAAGGCAGCTTTAGAAAGCAGGAACTGGCAGCTGCTATCGGCTGTTCCAACAAGAGGAACAGATAGATGAACAGGAAAAATGAAAAGTGGTCAGAGAGAATAGAAAATGCCCTTGTCTCCTGGCTGTCCCAAGGGAAAAAGAGGAATTAGTAACAGCCATTGTCTGCTCCCAATGGTGGTGTCATGCACCGCTGATGTCCGACTTGCTTTCTTCCCAAAATGCAGCCCCTCTCTCCAAGGAATCCCTGTGCACAAACGATTCCACAAGGTCTTCTGACAGGACTTGAATCCCCCATTGGGTAAGAGGCAGCCTGAGCCTGGATCCTGTCATGTAGGCCTCAAAGCATTGGTGAAGACTGTGAAAATTGTACTTGAAACAAGAGCAAGAGGGCGGCTCACAGACTGCACATACACTGCAATCATTGTTTACAGTCACAAGTTTGTTAGGACAGTGCCACAAGTCAATGTAGCAACAAAGAGATCACTGTCAAAATCCAAGGCTTGGCCAGCATCTCACCAGGCCAATGGGCAAGAAGGCCAACGGCTTCCTGACCTGCACTGGAAATAGTCTGGCCAAGAGGACTAAGGAAGTGACCGTCGCATTGCATGTGGCACTGGTGAGACTGCATCTCCAATGCTGGGCTCAGTTTTGGGCCCCTGACTGCCAGAAGGATCTTGAGTTGCCGGAGTGAGTGCAGAGAAGGGCAGTGCAGCAGATGCAGGAGTTATGGGGAGACACCGAGGGCATGGGGCTTGTTTGGTTTGGAGAAGAGGAGACTGAGGTGAGACCTCACAGCTCCCTACGGCTCCCTGAAGGAGTGCAACAGGGAGGAGGTGTCGGTCTCTTTTGTGAGGTGTGGAGCAATAACACATGAGTGGGAGCAGCTGCCAGTTGTGTCAGGAAGTTCCTGTTGGACGTTAGGAAGAATGTCTTCATGGAGAAGTTTTGTCAAACAGTGCAACAACCTGACCAGGAAAGCGGTGGACTTCCCTGCCCACCCATGGCTACGGGCAGCATCTTCTTCCTGTTTCCCAGCCTACGCGTGGTGATGCACAGCCCTTCACTCCATCTCTGCCTTACTCTGTGTCCCCAACCACCTGTTCCCTCATGGGCAGCCTTTCCTGGATGCATCCTGTGCTCCCACTGCACTCGTGCTTCCCCAGCCCTGGGCAGCCCAGCTCATGAAGATGGACAGTGGCCCAAAGGCCTTGACTCCAGAGAAGGACGTTTCCAGCAGGGACAGCTGTCACTGGAGGGGACATCTGTCAGCAGCTGTGGTTGGGAGCAGTCTGTTGTGATGCTCGTGGATGAGCGTGGGAAGGGGCTGCCCTGCATGGGCTGCCAGTGTGCATCAGAACTGCTGTGGTCACAGAGTCAGCAGCCTTGCTGTTGTCAGATACGGTTTTATTGAGGGGGAAGGCAGCAGCAGAGGGGCCACTGCCAGGATCCAGGCACGAGGCTGGGCCAGCACCTCACCAGGCCACAACGTTCCCTTCCCAGTCCAGGAAGGACCCGCTGTCCTTCTCAGAGAGCTTGGAGAGCACCTTCAGTATCCCTGCTGCGCTCACGTCCACCGTCACGGGGGGCTGCAGGGCAGAGGGAGAAACGCAGGCGTGTGTGCCCAAGGGCTGCCCAGGCTGTGCCCTGGAGCCCGGCTGCGGGAAGGCAGCGGCCGGGACCAGGGGGAAGCAGAGCCCTGGGAGGAGGGTGAGAGCTGGGAAGGCGGGCGGCGGGGCTGCCAGGAGCCGGGGCTGGCGCTGCGCAGGGCTCCCAGGGCAGGGAGAGCTGCCATGGTGCTGATGGAGCAGCACCCTGAGGGGGCCTTGGTGCAGGGCTCCGGGAGACAGCAGCCTCCGTGGGAGACCAGCACAGGCTGTGCATGGACTCAAGGTGGGGAAGCCCCTACCGTTTGTCCGGCTGCGC